TTTTGACATAATAACTAAGAAAGTTACATGAAGGCTATGTTAACCAGTTTGATGGAAGTGTCATGGATTGTGTGTGAAAACACCACACTGTACCCCCAAAGTTCATCAATGTACACAGTTACCATTCAATAAAAAAAAGGGGGAAAAAAAGAAGCTGTATTTCATTTAATTAAAATTTTATCTTCTGTGAAAAATGCTGTCAATAAAATAAAAAGATAATACACAAACTGGGATAAAATATTTCCAAAAGACACAATACATACAAGGTTGTTATCTAAAATCTATAATTTACACTTAGAACTCAAGAAAACCAATCCCATTTTTCACAGATATAGAAAAGTAATTATATGCTTCATATGGTACCAGAAAAGACCTCGAGCAGCCAAACTTTATGCAAGAAGAACAAATCAGGAGGCATCACTTTCCCAGACTTCAGGCTGCACTAACAGGCTATACTAAAAACAAACAAACAAACAAACAAATCAGCAAGTACTGGCATAAGAACAAAGACATAGACCAATAGATCAGTACAGAAAACTCATATATAAAGCCATCCTCATATGTCCATCTAATATTTGACAAAGCAGAAAATAATATACAATAATATACCTACTTTATTGGTGCTGGGAAAATTGGAAGGCCACATGTAGAAGACTGAAACAGTATCTGTACCTGTCATCACTCACAGAAATTAATTCACACTGGATAACATATTTAAACCTAAGTCATGAAACTATTCAAATTCTAGAAGAAAATGTTGGAAATAAACCAAACAATCTAATTTTTAAAAGGCAAAATACCTTAACAGATCCCTTGCCAAAAAAGATATATCGATAATATGCACATGACAAGATGCTACACATAACATTTTATCACTAAAATGCAAATTAGAACAATGAAATATTACCAAACTCCTATTAAATTGGCCAAAATCCAAAATACTGACATCAAACATTGGCTTGGATGTGAGCAACAAGGACCTTCATGGGAATGCAAAATGGTGCAGCCACTTTAGAAGACATTTTAGTTTTTCTTTTCTTTTTCTATTTTTTTTAACAAAACTAAGCATACCTCTACTTATATTTTATTCAGTAATAACAACACTTATTATTTACCCATAGGAGTTAAAAAAATTTTGTCCACACAAAAACTTGCATAATAATGTGTACAAAATTTAGTCATATTGCCAAACTTAGAAGCAACCAAGATATTCTTCAGTAGGTTAATAAATAAAAGGTTGAAAAAGACAGGAATAAAAGACAAAATACAGAGTTTTTTTTAGAGAAGTTCAATTACTCTGTGTGATAGTATAATGGTAAATACATGTCATCATATATAGGGTGGCCATAAATTTTGCGTGCAATTTAAATAGCACTATTTTAAATTTCACACGAACTTTATGGTCACTCTGTATTTGTCAAAACTATAGAATGTGCATCACCAAGAATAAACTGTGAGCTTTGTGTGATAATGAGGTGTTCATGTAGGTTTATCCATTATAATAAATACATAACTCTGGTAGGGGCTGGAGGGTGCTTAAATTCTCATTAGTAAGTGAAACAAGCCAATCTTAAAAGCTATATCCATATGATTCCAATAACATGACATTCTGAAAGAGGAAAAATGATGGAGACAATAAAAAGATAATTTGTTTCTAGGGCAGAAGGAAGGATGAACTGATGGAGCATAGAGGGCAGTGAAAATATTCTGTATAGGATTATACTAATGGATACCAGTCATTGCACATTTGTAAGGACCCATAGGTTGTATAACACTAAGAGTAAATCCTAATGTTAAACTATGAGCTTTAGCTGATAATGATGTGTCCGTGTGGGCTATCAACTATAACAAATATTCTGGTGTGTGATGTTAAAATTGAGGAAGGTTGTGTGGGATGAGGGGGTATATAGGAAATCTATAATTTCAACTAAAAGTTTCTGTGAACTTAAAGCTGCTCTAAAAAAATAAAGTCTATTTATTTAAATAGAAATCCAGCAGCTTTCACAGACACAGGATTTATCTTCCCTTTGTTAACAGGTTAATATATTTATTGAAACATTTAATACCTTCTAAAAAATATGACTATAAAAACAATTTTTTTAGGTCATCAATAATTTAATTCCACTCAAAATGTTTTCTGAAACTAATGATGGTTGCTCAATTTTACAACTTAATTCAGCTCTAAATTCAAACTATGTGTAAATGGCCTGTCTCACATAGCAACCCAGTAAATGTTGATAAATTAATGAGTATTGCTGGGTGGCACCTGTGGCTCAAGGACTAGGGTGCCAGCCCCATATACAGGGGGTGGCAGGTTCAGGCCCAGCCCTGGCCCAAACTGAAAAAGAAAAAGAGAAATTAATGTATAATACTTTAAAGTGTCCAGAATAGATATAATTCAGGTAAACGTATTTACTTACTCCGTGTCCAAAGCACTTTTGTGAACAAGTCTCTATTTCATTCCTAATTATCCTTAATTCACTACATGTATGGCCTAAACAAATCTTTAAAAAAAAAAAAAGCACACATTAAAAATATTTTTAAGCTAAAGAGAGATCCAGCATTCATAATATCACAATTAATAAGAGTATAATAAGAGTATAACATGAAATCAATACCATTCAGTGCTATAAATTTCCCTCTAAGTATTGCTTTGCAGCAGCCCAGAAATTCGATAAGTTGTGTTTTCACTTTCATTTAGTTCAATATATATTAAAATTGTTCTTAAGAATTTTTTCTTGACCCATATGTTATTTAGAAATTTTTCATTTGAATTACAAGAATTTGGGAATTTTCCATAGTTCTAATGTAAACTATGAACTTTGGGTAATGGTGATGTGTCAGTATAAGTTCATCATCTGTACCAAATACACCATATTGATGTGGGCTGTGCTTAGTAGGGGAGGCAGGAGATGTAGAGTATATGACAATTTTGTACCTTCCATTCGTTTTTCTGTGATCTAAAGCATCACTAAAATAAAATCTATTTTTTAAATTTTTTATTTCAAATTAATATGAGGGTATAAATGTTTAGGTTACATTGTTATAAATTCTAAGAGTTCAAGTTGTAGTTGAGACCTTCACCCAGGGGGTGTGTTGAACACCCTCACGTAGTGCATGTTAGGTTAGATCCTGCCAATCACCCTTTCTTCTACCCCTTCCCTCTTGTCTATCCCCCTTGTTAGACTATATTTGTGTTTCCTTTCATATTGTTTATATATTTCTTTAATATTAGTAGATTTGTATTGAGTACATGCAATATTTCCTTTTTCCATTCTTATGTGACTTTACTAAGAAGAATGTGTTTCAATTCCATTCAGGTAAATACAAAGGATGTAAAGTCTCCAACTTTTTCAGTGGTTGAAGAGTACTCCCTGGTATACATATATTACATTTTGATAAGCCATTCATGGTAGATGGTTACCTCGGTTGCTTCTGTGTCATGTCTTGGCAATTGTGAATTGAGCTGCAATAAACATTCTGGTGAAAATGCCAGTGTGGTAAAATGTGTGGGGAAATGTCTGACAAAATTGGTCTGGAAAAATGCTTTATGAAGAAGACCCCCTTGGCAATTTCAGCAACACCAAAAATAAATAAATGGGACATGATCAAGCTAAAGAGCATTTGCACAGCTAAGAGTATAACAACTAAAGCAAACACATATTCTTTAGAATGAGAGAAGACATTTGCATGATATGAATCTGAGAAAAGGCTGATAACTAGTTTCTACAGAGAATTCAAATTAATCAACAAGAAAAGAGCAAACCATCCTACTTTTATGTGAACAAGAGTCTTGAATAGAAAGTTCTCTGAAGATGACAAATGGCCAATAAACACATGAAAAAACACACATTGTCCCTAATCATCAGAGAAATGTAAATCAAAACCATCCTAAAATATTACCTAACCCCAGTGAGATTAGCCCACATCACACAGTCCCAAATCTGAAGATGTTAGTGTGGATGTGGGGAGAAGGAAACACTGCTGGTGGGATTTCAAACTAACACAAACTTCATGTAAAAAAGTATGGAGAATTCTCAAAGACCTAAAGTCAACTTTCCACTTGATCCTGAATTCCTATTATGAGATATTTACCAGAAATCAATTTTTTTTAAAATAAATATTTTCAAAAAATGATCTTGGCAGGGAATTGCCCAACACCAATGAAATAAGAGTGGTAATAAAAGCAATTATAACCCAATAAACACTTTTCATTACAATAACATGAAATATAACAAAACTGTTCCTGATCAAATAGTTAAAAAAATACCTTGTATTCATATCACATATCATTTTACATAGAAAAAAGGCAATTAAGTATTATTATGGCATATGTTCAGTTTTCTTAAAATAGGAAAATTATTAGACTATTATAAGTATTTCATCAATGTAATGGAAAATTTAATTAAAATATATTAGAGATGTCTGTCATTGTATTATGGAATGTGTAAAAACTTCAGATATATTATTTTTAACTTTAAAATATACTTATCAGAGGACTAAGGATATACTCCCAACTCCATTATTTATAGCAATCTTAACCTCCCTAAGTTGCAATTTTCTTACAAGAGAGCAATCATACCTTTTCTTTAAAAAATGTCATTGTAGAATAGTTAAATACTATTTGTGTTTGTTTCTAGGTTAAAATGAGGTAATGCATGTGAAATTAATTCCTTTTCAGCATTAAAGCACAGCACAATTCTCTCCAAAGAAATGGTCTCACAAAAGCTCCTCTTAGTCTAAAAAATCTAACCCTTTTAAACTTTAAATGAGGTGAGTCTCCTCTGGTCCTTGGACATGAAAGTGTATCTACTAACTCCTTTGGGATTTTAGTATCTCTTATTTTCTTATTTCAGTTGAAATTGAGAAAACATTCCAGTCCATAAGGACACTTACAGAAACGATGCTAAGAATGTTTCATCACATACAATTTATTGGATCATTAAAATCTATGGTAATTTTTGCTAAAATTTTTGTTCACGCATTATCTCTGTGAATAATTATCCATGTTATAAAAAATATTATACTCTTACTAAATTTTCTGTTGAGTACTCTCAAACCACCCGTTGGCTGTATTGCATTTTTATTTGCTTTCGCTCCATGGCTTAAATATATCTACTGAGATTTATGGACTAAACTTCCTTCAAGAAGACATTTATGATTCCTGAACATAAAAAGGAAATCAATATTAATGGGTCTATAATCTTCACTTATAAGAAACACCCTTTAAACTATAAAACCACTAAAAGTGGCTATCAATGTATATATGTCACATCCAAGGATACCACAGCTTAATTGTGTAAAATAATTTGTTCAAGGAAGTCTATCAAGCAACTGGAAGAGTCAGAATTCAAATCTATGTGTGCATCTGTCTTTAAAGCCTACACTTTAAATTTTGTATTTCCTCATGAGTAAAGATCTGGTCAGGAAATAAATGAGGTGCTGAGGTAAATATATTTCCTCCATTTCTAGTCTAGGTGTCAGTTAGTTTCAAAGACAAATTCTAATAATAACAATCAGTATTAACAGCTAAACTGTATGTAGCTCTTACTATGTGCTGGGCCTTATGCTAAGCACTTATACTGTTATCTCAATTAATCTTCACAATACTCTCAAGAGTGAATGCTATTATTGTATATTGCTTTATACTTTATATATTGCTGCTGTATCTCAGACTGGCTAGGTTGTAAAAGGTCAAACAAACAAGAGGTGATGATTTGATTCTAAATAGCCTTATCTAATTTGTGTTCTTACTGACAAGACCACAAAGAGACATATATTCCTAAGCGGGATATCTTCCTCCTTCTTACACTGAGAAGAAAATCAAGTTTCCATACTATATGGTAGTTCATCACAACACAGTCCCAAGATCTCTTCTCTTCTCACTCCAGCCCCCAAATGCTTGGAGCCTCTTTGCTCCCAACACTGAAGGTCTGAAGAGGTGAAACATTCTCGCTTCCCTGTTACTACTTGGAGACTAATTTAAGTTTACTAATTTTCTCCTTAAGACATGTAAGGTTATGTAATACTAGAAATTAATTAAAATTTCATGCTTAAATGAAAAGAGTAGTGAAGTAATGAATAAAACTAGACTTTTTTTTAAAAAAGGAGATTTAATTTACCCTGCCAGTATCACAAGGAGTGCCACTTTTCACTCTTAATGGATCTGGTCCTGGTTGATTCGCCGGGTGTTCCATACTTATACATACAGTACCTCGTACGTAAGCATAAATCACATCACCATGTTGTGGATAGAAAGGAGCTTGAGTAGGGTAGGTACAAACTAATCTTCCACATATATAACCCCTGTGAACATAATAAAACTATATTATTTTTATACGTTGGACATTTATTAGGAATGCTTTGGATTTGTATTCAGAGAGAAAGAAGAGAAGAAAGGAAGGAAGGAGGGACAAAGGAGGGAAGGAAAGTTCATTCTTCATTAACAGCAGCATACTTAAAGTAAATGCTTTAATAGTAACATTTAAAGTAAAAAATAAAAATAAAGTATAAATCCATTGATCCAATCTAATCTTTAAATAGTACTAATGGTCTTTTAGTCACTATGAAGATTATATATTTAAAGCTAGATAATCCATCCACTCCACGATTTCCTCATAGAGGGAGAGGAAGGTGAAAAAATTTTAAGTTCTACCTTCAAGTTTCTTACAGTCTAATACTCTTACTAAGGCTTACAATATAAATATGATTCAAATTCCATTTAAAAAGATACAAGCGAAATAAACAAATCCTCATAGGAATTTAAGATGTGGATACATCTAATTTAGTAGTTAGGGATGACTTAAAAGGGAGATTGAAAAGTTCTGGACCCAAGGATAAAAAATCATTCCAAGACACGAGACAAAAGAGAGATGGAGATCCAATTCATGCAGTTAAAGTGGCTTTTATTCCACCTGGAGGGCATGTGGGGTGAGATTCCTGATTAGGGAGAAATCTACCTGTGGGCTGTGGTAAACAGAGATTTAAAGGGTTAGGGCAGCCAGGATTGGTCTGTCCATAGCTTTACCTGGGCAGGTAGGTGGGACAAGGTTAGGGAGGTCCAGACAGGTCCATTCACTATTTTCTGGGAGGGATATGCTCTCCAGGAAAGGGATCCTTCCTTGGTGGATCAATAACTTGATTCTATCAAAGATGCTACCTGAGTCAAGGCTCACAAATTAGTAAGCTTTCAACAGAAAGAATGAGATAAACATTTCTAAACAAATGACACAGCATAAGCAAGTCAAGGAAGCATAAAACTACATGCTATATTTATGAGTCTATAAATTTCATGAGTGTGTGAGTAAAGTAGTATTTAACCCAGTGTCTGGCACATAGTATGCTCCTAATAAACATTGTTTTAAAAATAAATTAGCCAAAAAGCTAGTTCTCATATGTGGTGAATATTGAACTTCATTTAACAAATACTGGGCAGCCTTAATCTTGAACAAATAACAAAATTGATGAGCATACTACTTTTATAAGGAGAAATGAACAGATTTAGAAAGAAATGGTGCAGTGGCCAGGTGTGGTGGCTCATGCCTGTAATCCTAGCACTTTGGGAGGCCAAAGTGGGTAGGTTGCCTGAGCTCACAGGTTTGAGACCAACCTGAACCAGAGTAAGACCTCATCTCTAAAAATAGCCAGATGTTGGGGAGGGCTCCTGTAGTTCCAGCTACTCTGGAGGTTGAGGCAAGAGAATCACTTGTGCCCAGGAATTTCAGGTTGCTGTCAGCTATGATTCCACAGCACTCTGCTGAGGGCAACAAAGTGAGACTCTGTTTAAAAAAAAAAAAAAAAGAAAGACAAAAGAAAGAAAAAGAAATGGTGAAATAGGTGCTCTGAGCTTTAATTGTGAATTAGATTTAGGAACCTAATGATCAGTCATCTGTAAATGTTTAAAAGTAAGATAAAATCTTAGCCAGTAGCACAAAAAAAGAAAATTTTTTTCTTTTAACTTAAAATTCACTCCCATGCATATACCATAAGTTAAACCAGTGGAATGAATGTCATATACTAAAGAGAGAGAAACTTTTTTTTTTTTAAAGAAAAAATATCATTTCTTTTTATATAGCATACCTCCAAGGACATGATACGTATCTACTCCTACTGTCCTTACCACAGTTACCAAAGGTATCAGTATGAGAATGTATTTCTTCATAGCAGGCAAATGGAGCCTGTCTGGAACCTGTCAAAATTAAAAATACATTTGGATTAGAACAAATATTGTATTTTTATCTTCTCCCATTTCTTAATATGTTATATATTTCCTTTACCTCTTTCTCCCTTATGATATAATTCAAAGGTTTTCCTAGTAAGAGTGTAAGGAAAGAAAAAATTGTGATAGGAAAGACAATGCTCATGGCTATTGTTTCTTTTGCTTCATTTTTCTTCATTTCCACCATAAAAGATAATATGGGAGAGGAGAGAGTTATAGACGAGTAAATTAGGAGACGCTTCTGTGAAAAAAAGCAATATATAATGCAAGAAAACTATACTGTTATTGTAGCTTCTGAGTGGGAATTCATAAAAAGTTAGATCTACCAAGGTGATTTCTTCAATGAGAAGACATTTCATCATATCCTTCGATAGTATAAAGTGAATAGGTCAAAATTAACAACCTATGTATTTATCTATTTTTTCCTTCACTGCTATAGTCTTTCTTTAATTTCTCTGTACAAAATTATCAAAAATTAGAAGTTTGAAACAAAATCCAAAATCAATTTATTACCAATTTCTGTAAATCAAAAGTTCAACAAGGCACAGGTGTGCTCTCTGCTCAGGTCTTACTATGTTTAAATCAAAGTATTGGTTGCGGTTGCAGCATCATCTGAGGTTGGATTCCCCTTAAGAGCTCACTTGTTGTTAGGAGGATTCAGTTTTTTGCAGTTGCAGCTCTGAGGTTCCCATTTTCTGGCTAACTGTCTACCAGGGATTGCTCTTGGCTCTTAGAAAGCTGCTGAGGTCCTCTTATAATATGATAGCTTACTTTGTCCAAATCAGCAGAATAATCTTTCTGACATTTCCCATCTTTCAAGTGCTCACAGGATTAGTTCAGAACAAACTTTTTGATTGAATCAAATTTGGCAGATTGTGGGACTTAATTACATTTTCAAAACTTCTTCGTGAGCAGAGTAAGATGTCAGAGGAGAAACAGTTTTTTGGAAACTGGACAAGATGAGATAGGGGAGATAAGATTCTAGGCACTTCAGGATTGTGGGTTTTCCCAGAATCATTCCTTTGGGGGCACATGGAGGCAGCAGGAGACTTTAGGACCACAGGAGGAGGATCAAAGCAGTGGAGAAGAAGAAAGTGTTTGCATTCAGTTTGAGTCCACCAGCCATGGCTGGGTGGCAGCAGCTATAGCAGTGGTGAGAGTGTGCAGACAGAGAAGGCCTTTCCAGTCAGGTATTTTGGACTTGGGCACTGGGTTGAGTTACCTTGGGAGACCTTGAGTGAGTGAGTAAGTGATTTTGAACAGAGCCCAGACATGAGGACTGAGCCACCAGGGTAGAGCCAAATTTCATTGTTTAGCAGCAAGCCATGTGCAGCCATTGCAGGAGAGCTTCCTTGCAGGCCCTGCCCTCTCAGTCCTAGAACAAGGCTGGTTCTAGGAGACCCGGGGCAAGTGAGAAGGTGACTTTAATAGTGCCCAGAAGCCTGGACTACGCTGTTAGGACAGAATGTAAGGTTTCATTCTTTAGCTGCAGGCAGTGCACAGCCCTCGTGGGAAGGTTGTCCTTTTTTTTTTTTTTT